ATGGTTCTTTCATAGGTACCTGTTACGATGGAACATGATTTCTTGTCAGCATGTGTCACACATATCATTACATCAGTCTAAAAGTAATTTTAAATGGATACTGATAGTGATGGTTACAGTGTCAAGAGCCAAAAGGTAAAGTGGGTTTGAAATTAGCTGTCATACCTTTGAGGTTTTTCTGGAAGGATTTTTTTTTTTTAATTTAACCAGATTATGAGATTTTGAAAATCACCTGCTGCAAATGTGTAGTAGATTTTTCATGTCTGTTTTTAATAAAATTGTAATATACTCAGTTAGTGAAAAGCACATTTATAATACATGTGAAGACTTTATTCTCTCTTACTCTCTCCCACACCCTACCCAAGAGAGGGGGGGTGAGGAAGGTATAAGAAATCAGTCCATGGAGAGATAAGACTTTGAATTTTTCACTTCTTTTCCTGAAGCAGTGCACAGCTGCCATATTTTTTGTTTAAGGGCTCTACTGAAAATTTAGATTTTTCATGGTTAAATTGTCATTTAATGTTTTAGAAAGCCTGAATGTAAGGTCAGTTTGATTATGTTAAGCCCATTTTAACACAGTTCCTCTCTTTAAAACATTTTAAAATGCTTTTCATGTCAAAATCATCAAATGTAACCTATATACAAGGTGAAAAGCTGCTTGTGAGTCAGTAAAGTTCACCCAAAGGATTTAACTTAGGTGCCTCTTAATGGATAAAAGCATGAAAAGAGACAAAGGTTTTAATCTGTCTCTTTTTGGCTTCATGTTTTCCTGTTTTTGTGAGTGTACCCAGGGTACTTAATGTTTATAAAATTATACCTAACAGTTGGAGGTGTACTTGACTGAAGTGACCCAAATCTTACATAAGTAATTCTGATAATTATCCTGCACTTTGAAAATAAGGCCTGAACTATAATTATTTATGGGAGGGATATTGCGAGAAATGTTTTGTGTTAAAATAAGGCAGATCCTTTGCATGGTTTTAGTGTCCGTGCTGAGCGCTATGTCTTTTAAGATACTGATGTAGGTATGTCTATTTATATGTATGAAGGAAATAAATGCTTAATAGAAGACAGACAAGGTAAGTACACTTTTTGCAGTAATCAAGCATTTGCTTTCAGCAAGTCCTTCACCTAGGAGTCCACTTCAGCAGTATAGTAAAAGTGTTATTTAGGTCCCTTTATAGTTTTGAGGATGCCCCTGACTCTACAAAGATTCCAAAGGGATCAGTTGATATGCTGCACCTATAAAAACAATTTAAGTAGCTCTAAGTAAGTCTTCGTGCCAATTATGTTAATAAAGCTGCAAAGGGACTGCAAAATTAGAAGTCCTCTGAAGTCTAGTGCTGGCCCAGCAATTCAGAAGCTCCTCAACAAGACATTAAATCAGGCTCTTTAATCTCTTTTAATTGGTGCTTTTGAGTATAGAAGAATACATGAACCCTGCTGTGTTCTAAAAGCAGTAGAACATCTTCACTGGGCAATAATACATAGTGAAAACAGACTTCTCAGACTGCAGGTCTCCTGTACTAGATAATGATGCAGAGAAGTTTAATTTCAATGCTACTTGTCAGTGCAGTTTTGCTGTTGAACAGTGCTTTGGCTCCAGCTGTGCTGGAAATGGATCAGCTCTGCCCTGTGTGGCTATGAGGTGCTAAATACCCTGGCCATGAGCTTGGGGGGTGAAACCTAGGAGCAGCCAGAGGAGGTTATCCTGCTGAGGGAATGGGGGGTTTTGGTACCATGATTCCTCTCAGGAGCCATCAAGCCTCTCCTAACAGAATGGGACTTTTACAAACTGATGACTGGTTATTTAAACTCTGGTACTAAAACTCAGAAAGCCTAGAGGTTAACTAAGAGATATTTAAAATTAGAATAACAACTTTCTTTCAAAAAAGTATAGCTCTAATGGATGCTGGTTCTTTTAAAACCATAAAGACCAGCTCGTTGGCTGCAGTAAAAGAAAAAAAAAATAGAAGAAACAGAAGAAAAAATAGAATGTGGTTTCGCCAAAAAATGTGTGAGGCTTTTTGACAGCTAAGGAGTTAGTATTCATTTGGTTTTTCATTTAAAGAAAATCTGTAAGGTTGCTACTTTCTAGCTACAGCTTTTATCCCAATTTCACTTTCAGCTGCTATATGCATTCATTCCAGAGTGTGACTTCTGTAGTGGTAATGTATGTATACATTAGGGTGACTCAGGCATACACCATCTTCCGTCTCTTTTGCCTTCTATGGAAAAGGAAGTAAGACAAATGCACATCTCGGTGAGTTCCCGCCTTATCTTGTCTCTTATTACTCCTGCTCTAAGCTTTTGGCTGAAGTTCTGAAGAACTCTTCAATTTTCTTCAGATAATTTACATTCTTCTGCAATTTTTTATTGCTCATGGCTGTTAGTTTTCTAGAACAGGTTTACAGGCTGTCATCCTTATGATTTGTATGAGAACTCCAAGACAGTATAACGGGACAGCTGGCTTGTGTTTCAAATAAATAATTATGCAGCATCATTTAATTTTTCCTTAGCGTTCATCCTCACTACTGGAGGAAGAAAAAAGGCCACCCACTGAGAGAAGAGAGTGCAAAGCTAATGAATACACTAGGGGAAGGCTCTGCACTTCTGTGTCTGTCCCATGCTAAGCAGAATCCCAATCATGGAATATCCAAGGAGATTTGTCCCATAAGGTATGTCATTTATGCATGTTGACTTTACATATTATTCCCTCTGGGAATAAAAATTTCCCCGTAGTCCTGCTTTTTACTACTATTTAATCAAAACCTTTATCCATTCATCTCTAAGTGGCCAAAGGGAACACACTTTTTCTGTGACTCATTTTTGGTGGTGTTTTTATTTTGTTTAGAGGAAGCAAAAAGGTCTGAATTTGTAAGGATATTTTCAGATGTGTTAGGTTTTATTATAACTGATAGCTGTCACTCCTCTAAATTGTAGGATACAAGTTTAAATTCATCAGAATATGCAGGAGAATGAAAATTGGCACAGGACTATACTTCAGATACAAATGTTGCAATCATATTAGCTTTTCACTTGAATTATTAACTTGCATGTGATCACACCTATGTATGTGCACATAAACCAACACCCACCATTTCACCATCAAGATCATTCCTCATTCTTAACTAATACAGTCAAAATTGATCTTATACATAGTAAGCAATTTTGGGGAATGGGGAATATTTAAAAGTTTAGTCTGTGTAGAACTCTAAATATTTTAGAAAAATTCCGTTGATTTTCTTCAGGCTTGCATTTTCTGAGATTTTTGTTGTTGTTGTCTTAGCAGGAATTTTGCTGGTTATTGTTAGTTGTGTTATCCACTCAAAAAAGCAAAGACAGTTATTTAGATCTATCTACTAATCTCTTAGGTTTTTAAAATAATTTATCATGTTTACAAACAAATGGGGGAAGAGCAAGGAAGAAGAGAGAGATCTTGCCAAAATAATTAAAAAATGTTCACAATGGCTTATATGCTAATGCTTTTTAACAAAATAAAGTGGTGTCTGAGTACCTTGCATGAAGGCTAATTATTCTTCTGGGAACATTCATTTTAAGGGGTCTCTTCTATATTTCTGTATTTCATGAGAATACTTCGGAGGAGTGAAGCATGATGCATAAAGAGGAGGCTTCACTCTCTTGAAGTATTCTTGTGGAAGAACTACTATATATGGCTTTTCTCGTGTGTGGATACTTCATAGTTGTTTCTGTGTAGGTATAGAAGAAGAATCAAATGTGGATATCCCCCTTGCCCACAATCCCATTCCTTTGGGCAATGAGTTGGAGTGCAGCAGATATTTTTTTCTAGAGCTCTGCACAATGATTTTAAAAATATTTTAACATCAACCTGTCTTTCCTGTAAATTACTCCAAACACCTGTCTCTGTAGATACTTCATAAATTATTTTGAAAACTGTATTTTGATTCCTTGCACTCTGACAAACACTTTAGTTTAAAGTAATTATTGCATGAAAAATTTCACAAACTGTTTAAGGAAAATCATACGTATAAAGTCACATTAAAAAATTTCACTAAATAATTTTTTGTAAATTGCTTATTTATTATGCCTTGTCAACAGTTAAATGATATGTTGCTGTTTCATGCAAGCTAGAGTAGTGTTAAGAGAGCAAATGTTAATCCATAAACATGTTAAGGAAAAAAAGTGCTAAATCTGTATAAGTTTGTACAGGTTTAAATATGAAACTGGAGAGCTGCTTCAGTTAAAATGACTTGGAATTTTGTGAAACAAAACTGCTAGTCTTGTTTGGTTGTTTTGTAAAACAACCACTAGTCTAGTTGTTCCCAAACCTTGTTCCAGTTCTCCCTAGGATGTTTGATTTTATCCTGTGTTAGCATTTACACACTTTTTTTTTGTCTGCAATATGATGCCAGCAGCTCTAGGAATATAGCAAAACAATACTATTCACCAACCAGTTCTGGTTACTATTCAATAATGAGTCCATTTCAAACTAAGTACCGCATGATACTGAAAAAAAAAAAAAACCCAAAAAACCCAAACCCCAAAAAAACCCAAAACAAAAAAACCCCACCAAAAAAACCCCCAAAAACTCAACCCATACCCAACAACAAAAAAACCCAACCAAAGCCCAAATCTTCTAGCATGAGCTAACACAACAAATGTACATATTATGTCACGGAACAACAGCTCAGTTACAATAATAGCAATACATAAGAAAAAAGCTATTATTATGTTTCTGCAGGACAGTAATTTAGTATGATATTTCTTGCAGTGTTCAGGAACATAGAGAGACAAGTTGTTTTAATTACAGACTGAAAAAATCTTTTTTATGCATCTTCATTACCTTAAATATAAACTAAGTAAATAAAGTCTGAGTAATTGACAGTACATAATACAAATTTTCATGTGTAATCTCTGTATATTAAATTCTTCAAGAAGGACAATAAAATAACTGAAGAAATACCTATTTATGACATACATTATAATGAGTGACACACATAGCCGATCACTTAGCTGTTTTACTCATTTTCATCATAGAATCTATTTCTTTTAATTGATTCTTCTGCAGGGAGCTGTTTGAACTTGCCTTTCTCACCTTGTAACGATGGAACAGGTGTATTTCTTGAGCTCAGTAAATCTAAGTTTGTGTTTATGTCATTCTTTGACACTTCAATTATTTCTGTTTCTTGACAGGCATTAATACTATTCAGTTCTGTATCATAATTCCTATGTTTTTTTGAATATGGGCTGCGGGACTTTTCAGGTATGCCTACAGAGTCTGATAGACCACAGTCTAAAACCAGGTCATCTTTTTTAAGAAAAGATATTTGCAGAATGTCAAATAAAATAGTATTTAAATTTTTGTCATATTTTGATTCTTCCTCAGGGCATACCAACTCAGTATCAACAGGAAACGTTGTATTAGTTGCCTCCTTTAAAACTAATGCGCTATTAGTATGAGACTTCTGACAAGTGGCATCTTTATTAAATTGAGCAAGACTATTAGAGGTAACCGCATCTTCATCTTTTGAGCTCTGTTCATGCCATGAAACAGTTACGGCACCACTAGAATAGCTCTCATGAGATTCATACATCTCAAATATTTTTTCATTTCCAGACCGATTTTCCAGCTTTCCAAAGGCATGCTGTGATACAGTGCAAATTGCATGGCTCAATGCTGTCATTGGCTTAGACGTAGCTGAGAGAGTTGTTTCCTGCCTACAAATGTTTAGATGTGGAAAAGTGGCATAATTGTTATTGTTATTGTTATTCAAACTAAATTCTTTGTTATTCTTTTGTACTGTTACATCATCAATGTTAGTAACCTGTACAACTTCTGAATCATCAGTTTCATTATTTTTTTTCTCTTGTTCCTTCCCAGCACTATATACAATCACATTATCACCTTCATTAATATCTTTTCCACTTTCCTCCCTATTCAGTGATCCTCCTGTTTTATTCAGCTTATCTTGCACGTTCCCAGCTTCCTCATCTTTTCTATTATTGCCTGCTTCATTTTTCTTTGCTTTACAGATATTTGTAGCTTCTTTTTCGGACAGAGAGCTAAAGGATGAGTGTTGATTTTGTTGTGCACTTGCAGTGTCATTTTCACTTTGCTTTCTCACAGCATTTTTTTCCTGAGGATCCCTTTCATTGCCCAGAGGTTGGTTTGTATGTAAACTAGAACCTTCCTGAGCAAAACTTTCTGGGGGCCACTTTGGCTTATTTACTTTAGCTACTTCTTCAATAGAAAATGTTTTCTTAGGTGTTGCATCATCTGTTGAAGGTGGCCATGTCATCTTTAATTTACGTCTTTCTGTGGATTTTTTCAAATTATTATCCAAAATATCAGGATGAATAGCATCATTACCTGAATAAAAGTCTTGATCAATTTCTGTAATTGGTTTAGGATCAGCAGGTATATTAGTGGGATTTGTTTCTT